GAGTTGAACAATGAAAGATGATTACCTTCAACAAACTTGTGATGGAGAGATTGTGAAGTATAAAGAGCAAAGACTCAGAAAAAAAAAGAAAAAAAGAAAGAGAAATGTGATTATGCTCTTACAATTGCAGTGAACTATGAAGGCTTTGCTTGGACGCCCACTCACCTTTCATTTCAACTCATTTTACCTCTTAAACACAAAATTCAATGAAAAACAAACAACCGTCCAAACAACTTTCTGATTTACATTTTAAAATCAAAGTTGAAATATTTTGTTAGTGTAGCGACCATTTTTTGAACTAAAAATAGTTCAATAACGAAATCCAAAACTTTGCACATTTATTTCAGTTTGCCTCTACTCAAAAGTTCGAGGCCCAATTCATAGTGATTAGGAAAACGTTTTTTGAAATATGTATTAAAATATCATGTACGACAAATATCACTAAACAATAAAAAAAATGTCAATTTTAGTCACTGTCAAAAAAGAATTTGAAAAATGATCACTAAACAACGGAAAAATGTCAATTCATAGTGGTTGCTACTTTACTACTAATAATTATATTAAGTAGGTAATTAATATTTGACTAGTGTGATGACGGCTTGTCAACCTATTAAATGAGAAACTAAAGAATAAATTAATGAAAAACAGATCAAAAGTGAAGATGTCTACCAAACTATATATGTAACAAACTATCAAAGGTCACTTTATTATAATAATATTAAGGGAACAATGAATGGATTATAATGATACATATATAGTGGAGAAAACATTTTACACAAAAAAGCTTTTGGCACAATTAATGAAGGACTACCAAAATAGCGATATACAAACGTAATGTTTGGAATTTGCAAAATAAAACCCGATGGATCTAAAGAATAAATAAATTAAGTTACGTTTATGTAGAATTAAGTTACGTCATGTATATTATATAAAAATAAATAAATTTTTAATAATTAAAATAGTAAATTACATTGTTGTCTAAAACACTATCTACAAAGTATGTTAACAAATTTATCAGTAGTAACAAACTCATATTTTCTTTATTATAAAAACAAAATGATATCACTAAAGTGTGTCATTTCTTATTTCAACGGAAGTAACATATATTATTCTGATTGTGAAAAAAAAAAAAAAGGACAAGACCGGTGAGAAGTAAAATAAATCAAGTTTATTTATTATCTGAAGAAAAAAATAACAATTTTAAAAACATTTTAAAAATATCAAAACAAAAACTAAATTTGAGAAGGAAAAGATCAAGAAACAGGGCGATTAGACGAGAAAAAATCAAGAAAAAAATGAACAAAAACTAAGTTTTAATTAGACAACAAAGCGATGGATTTTTTTTTTCCTACTTATATTTCACTATCAACTCATTTATTATCATTATGTCCATTTTTATGACAATAAACACTCCCTCATCACCAAAAAATGTAAAAGACCCTTGATCTTCTTTTTATTAACTTCTTCTTTTATTTTATTTTAAGATTAAGAAAATCATTTCTCACTCATAAGTGAATTTGATCAGTCGAGTCAGTGATTCTCTCTAAATGCTTACGTCTTTCTTTTTTCCTCGCTTTCCTTCTTTGAATTTAATAACTTAGTTTAGGTTGTTGCATTATTCAAAAAGATAGTAAACCGAAATTTATCAATATATAATTCTAAATGGTGCATGTTGATTCCCATTTCCATAGTCCCTCATTTAATTTTGTCGAAAATAGTTTTGGATAAAAGGTTTTCTTCGGTTTACATTACATTACCAATTCATTTATTATCATTATCTCCATTTTTACGACAATAAACACTCTAATATCACCAAACAATATAAAATATCCTTGATCTTCTTAATCTTAAAATAAAATAAAAGAAGAAATTAATAGAAAATTTGAAATTTGACCTATATGTCGATGCTAGTTCTTTGTTCAACTTTGTTCATTCTACGACCTAGTTTTCAAATTCAGGTTTGCTTCATCTGACAATATTCTAGAGCCTATAAATTCCCGTGCAAAAGGCTTATATTACTCAAAGTTTGTATATTGATCAGACTGAATAATTCATTTTGTATCTACTACAACACATATATAGAGTGGTACACTTGGTAATAATAAGTATACAAGATAAATATCTAAAACTATACAACTCATCCCTATTATCAGATAAATATGACAATTAGGATTCAAATAAACTTATAGGATGTACAATGATTGATAGTATAGTCAAACAAGGCCAATCTAGCAAACATCTGATGATTAATGTCATAGAGTTAAATCAACTATAGATTGAAGATAGCAATAATAAATGAAAACAGAAAGGAAAGAAGATATGTATTTGTTACCTTTGTATGGAAATTCCAAACATTACCATCGATTTCGAAGGGCTAAGGTAACCGATCAAATTCACCTATTAAATGAGAAACTAAAGAAGAAATTAATGAAAAGCAGATCAAAAGTGAAGATGTCTACCAAAATATATGTGTAACGAATTATCAAAGGTCAATTTAATACTCAAATAATGAATAATTTATTATCATAATATTAAGACAACAATGAATGGATCAATAATGAAACATATATAGTGGAGAAAACAATTTACATAAAAATGCTTTTGGCAAAATTAATGAAGGACTACCAAAATAGTGATATACATTATGCAATTATATCTATGTATGAGTATGATGAAGAAATAGAAAAGAAAAAAGATTTGGGATTCATTTTCTATTAAGAACATTTTTTGAAACGGTGCATTGATAAATTCAATAACATAATTTGGAAAAAGATTACATTCTTTGATGCATCCATTACCATTTTCCCTACATTTTGTCTATCGGCTTGTTCCATGAACTTCAACTTTGTAAGCCTAACTAATTCGTCTTTTTTTTAGGTTCCCTGTCAAGCCTCAAGCTTTAATTTTGAATTTCAATTCATGACAACTGATGGCGTTAATTCCTTCCTCTCAGTAACAGGAATCAAATAATTTTTTTTAAAAAAAGAAAAATACATATCAAATAATGGATTATTTATTCATTGAGTGAAATAACACAACGACTGATGCGAATGTGACGCATGAAGGCACCGCATAACGAATACATCTTGTTTATAGTCTCCTGTGGTTACTGTGTATATAATTTGAAGAATTAATTGACTCCCTTATTATACATCACTCTTTATTTCGTGGATAAAACACTTCCTCTATCATGAGAAATAGCTCAGGTTGTTAACTGAAAACAGTACAAAAAATAAATTTTTTTTCTTAGAATTGATAGGAGCTGACCTAGCTATTACTAAAATGATTGATTGAATATAAAAACTTCCGACGTTTTTCACTTATGGTTTTTCTTCTTTCTTTTTTCTTTAAAAGGAAAACGGTGTTATTAGTAGTTCAAAGTTAATGAATTGATGGCTTCTCCATCAATCTACGTGCGAATTCATTCTTTCATAAGTGGATTTTTTATTTTTTTTTAAACAACTATCGCGTTGTGTTGGTTGTCAACAACGATATTGCTCAGTGAGTTACATCTCAATAGATTGGAAACTTAACTAAGGAATTAAATATGTTTGTTTGAGTCAAAACTGTATTCGATAGTGGAAACATAGTCGGCCCAAACCAATTTCAAACGATTATGTGATATTCTCGAAATACGGAGCCCAACCATTAAAATTGTTTAAAGTTGTCAACACCTTTGACTCGCAACGAGCTTGAGAGTCCAAATGTTCAGTGACGAAATAACGAATAATTTCGAGAAAAGGAATAAAACGGCCAATCAAGGCCAGTTTTATTGAACTTATGAGAAATGAATCAGTTATAAATAGCCTGAAACATCAAAGTGTTACAAAATCACGACTGAAAACTAAAAGGATACATGAAAGCTAGAAAGGAAAATAAATCATAAAAGCTATAAAGAAACTACGAATATGATTTCGTGTGTGATGAATTGTTTGTGTTTTAGCCGTCTCTCCTTTACAGCTTTTATAGGAGGCCCACCCTAGTTGGAATGCAACCGAAGTCGAATCTAGTAAGGACTTCTGTTGCGACTGGAATCCTTCTCCGACAAGGACTGTGGTGTCGACGACTCCTTCTTGAATTTGAATTACTACCTGCTATTTCTTCTTTTAACAGTAAAACGACGGGCTTGACCGATTTTATTTTCTCCATTATTGTTGCTGCGATCGGCCCAACTCATGTGGGCCGGATTTGCCAAAATCGGTCCCAACATAAAACCCCCCGAGAGAAGTAAATTTTGGGGCCAAAAAGAAAAAAAATTGCTTGCCTTACTGCCCAACTCTTTCTTCAGCCCAATAAAGTGGGACGATCCAGCAATAAATCCATCCAACAGAAAATATTATCGGCCCAGGAGCCCCCCCAGCAAAGGCGCGTGTGCAGAAATACGTTTTTGCTAACGGCTTCCTGACTCTACGCTTTTGAAGGGTTGACCGGTTTTGAAATCACTGGAGTGATTATGGAGAGAGAGAGAGAAGAGGATTGAACTACTTAAACAGTTTCTCTTCTTCTTACGGAAACAAAATCGTTTCCGATTCCAAATCGCCATCGTATCCGAATCTATTACAAGGTTTTATATTAAAGCAGCAGGTTCGCGAAAGCAAAAATCTCATATCAGCCTGTTCAACTCTGAACCCATCAATTTGAATTTCAACAAACCAATCGAAAAAACCCTTGTCGATTCGAACCTTCTCTTGCTGTTGTTGCAATTTGTTGTAGAAGGAAAGAATGGTCGGAACCAGAGATGCTAATCCAATGGCCTATAACAAGGCCAAAGCTGCAACCCATGGTGTTAAACCATCAGATATTGATTTTTTGCAACCATACAAAGAACAAGTTATGCTGCCATTCAATCCGTCCGCTCGCCACTTTACTCTTGGTCCAAATTTCCCGTCGGCACCGGGAAACCTAAAGGATTGCATCCCGATGTTGAACCCAAATGCTGTCTATTAGAAATATGAAAATCCTTGCAAGTTCGATAATTTTGAGCGGATTCAGGTGTGGCCATGGTCCGACAAGCCAGAAACCCAAGAAGCATTTGTGCAGTGGTACCGAGAATTGGAACCGGAATATGGAGACATTTAGAAAATGGCTGGGATTTACGATTTGCTGAAGTTTTGCACCATAGGGCTTGGGAAAAGCTGGGATTTGGTGGAGGCCGTGCTGGGTTTCTAGAGTGGTAGCAGCAACGTGTTCTGCTTTCCCCTGGGGGCCAATGACACCCACTCTGATGGACATTTGTGTTATTACAGGTGTGCCTACCATTGCAGCCGTAGCTGTGAATGGTAATGTAACAGATAATGGTTCAGCTGCAGCGGCGGCAAGGCAATGAAGGAGTTATGGTCCCTTTATCAGTTAAAACAATGGGCAGACAAGTCGATTGCACCATATTCGCTTTCTAGCCTTGTGGTTGAACAGGTATGTGTTTCCTGGTAAATCTTTCCAGATGACTATGGATTGGTATCATGTAGCTGGTAGATTGGCTGCTGGAATTCAAATGAATCTTGCGGAAGCTGCTCTAGCAATGCTTTATCATTGTTTGCATGAAGCTAGGCATAATCCTGGTTCAACTCTATGTGGTCCTGTTTGGTTATTGCATTTCTTGTTGTATATGTATTTTCCTAGCTTGAAACCAGAAGGGATTTTTCCTGTTGATAATGGAAAACCGTTGTGTCTGGGGGTGCATCAATCCCCATAAATAGGTGTGATGGTACAACAACTCAGTCACGATTGGTGGCACAAAAGTTTTGGCGACATCTGTCATGCAGAAGCAGAAAGTGGATGGTGGGATAATGTTGGTACATTTGGCTTCACATCAGTATGGAGCCATCTGCTGTCAGCAAGGAACATCTTCTATGGTAACAAAAGTGCTCAATCCCGAAACATTGTCACTGATATGCATGCATAATATTATCCAGCTAATATGGTTGCTCACAAATTTGGTTTTGTACAAAGCGTGCCACACTTTGAAGTGTGTGGTTGGAACACAGGGAGACTTGGTAGGGAGAAACTTACGATGGTGCATTATACAGCTCACAGAGAATTGATGGCTATTCGGGGCAGAAGTTCTCCTATAACTCCCTTCAAATTTCGTTTTGAAGCAACACATGGATTCACAAATTGGTGGGGTGAATTGTCAAGTACCATGTATCTGGATGTGAGGCAATAAAATCTGCATTCCGCATCAGTAAATATGTGAAACCCAAGGATGCTGACGGTGATGCAGAACTAGAACAAAAAGGTTAGTTCTCTTCCTCTGACTGTTGACTATTGCAGATTTCCTTTACTGGTGGTCAGAAAGGCAAGAAAACCGCTGCTGTTGCAGGAGGCAAAGCTAAACCAACCGTTGCAAAAGAAGTACCAACCTCAAGTTGCCGGTCCAACAGGATAACTGGACAAACGCGTGCTAAAAGTGAAGCTAGTATTAAGGTAAAGCATCACAATCAACCTTGTTATTTTACTAGACAATAAGCCATAGCAAATGATAATGTGGTTGTTATGTCGCAGGACCACACGGTTACTGTCCATAGTAGTGAGGAAGACTCTGACAGTCAAGAAAGTGAGAAAGGTTCTGTTGCAATTGGTGAAAGCAGTATTGCCAAGAAGGCAATGTCAGAGACTGGCGGGTCCAAGAGTAAGAAAAGATTGAAGACTGCCAGTTCATCTACTCAACTGAATTCTGCAAAGAAAGCCCCTCCATCTGTTGCAGCTCCGATGGCCCGTCTGGAACAAACTAAAGCAGCAGCCTATGTGAAAGTAGACGGGGCGTCCAGTTCCTCTGATATCCCATTAGGTGTTTGCCTACTACAGATTACTGAGATGTTCTAGCTTCCAGCATAGGAAGTGTACGGTAAAAGGTATCACCAGTTGAAAACATTGTCATCTGCAATTCAGAACTCTCTCGTGGATGACAGTATGGCGGCTGCGATTCGTTTGGTGTCGGCGGAAACGGTCCAAAAGCAGATTGAGTGTAAAGTTTGCGTTCCACATATTGAAGAATATCAAACTGCTTACGGCCTGCAAGACAAGAACAAAATGCTGTCGGAACAACTGGTCGATCAAGCAGCGCAACTTCAAGCTTAAATCAAGAAGACAATGGCCGAAGAAGCGGAGCTTAAGACGCAGTTGGGAAAAGTACAAGCTAAGTGATTGGGCTTGGAAACCAATTTAGGTACTGTAATTGCAGATATTGATATAGCACTTGGGGGATATGGGAGAATGACCGAAATTGTGAACAAGCTGCATCCGAAGTACCAAGATGCTCAAAAGGTTGTTGAAAGATCTCAGACGAGTTGGAATTTCCTGAAGAACACCATTACCCGTCTGATGCAGACCGTAGGAAAAGCACCCAATTCTCCTTCTGCCAAGGATCAAGCGCATCCAGAACGTCCGGAGGAAGTTCAAACCCATAGAGGAAGTGTTGCACAAGAAGAAACCCAGCAAGGTGTGCCACCCAATGATGAAGAGCCCTTGGACGTTCATCCTTTGCTAAGCATGCCAACGTCTCCTCCTGCTAAAAGCATTTGCTTCAGTATTTTTTATGGATGTAACCTGTTCTGTTGTTGGGTTATTTTGTTTGGTGATGGTAGTAGCAATCTCCCTCGCCAGTTGTTGCTCCTCAGTGTTGAGTTGATTCCACGCGGTATCAAAGTACTTTCACAGGAACGTAGCATGTATAGATTTGTATACAACTATACCATTTAGATCTTTCAAAATGTAAACTCCACGTACTAAATGTCGGTGTATGATATAAGGACCTTCCCAAGTAGGGCTCCATTTTCCGTAAGTACGATCTTTGTATCCCGAGGGCAAAACTGCTTTCCATACCTTAGTACCAACATTGAAGTGCTTGTATCGAACCAACTTGTTGTAAGCACGGATAAATCCAGCCTTCTGGTTAATGATATTAGTTGTTGCTGAATTTTGGCTATGTGACAGCCAATCTTGATCAATCTGCATAGCTGTTGTATAGTCGGCTGAATCCAAAGGAAACTGCTGATTAATTCTAAGAGATGGCACAAGATGTTTGATAGGCAAAATGGCGTCATGACCATAAACTAATTCATATGGAGTAGCCTTCATACTATCCCGATGTGTCACTCTATACACCCATAATGCTTGTCGCCATACGTCACGCCATTGCCATGGATTTTCAGAGATTGTTTTCTGGATGATTCCTTTCAATATTTTGTTTGTAGACTCAATCTGACCATTCCCTTACGCAAAATAAGGGGATGAATGTGTTAGAGTAAAACCCATATCTTTAGCAAACTGCATCATATCTTGGCCAACAAAGTATTGTGCCTAATCCGTAATGATTGTTTCAGGGACTCTAAATCTGTAAATGATATGCTCTTGGAGGAAAAATATAATCGCCTTTTGATCAACATCCTTCAAAGGCACCGCTTCTACCCACTTAGTGAAATAATCAGTTGCGACCAAAACATATCGGTGCCCAGAAGAAGATGGTGGATGAATCATGCCAATAACATCAAGAGCCCAACAATGAAATGGCCATCGTTTACCTATAAACTGCAGTGGCTCTGGATGTCTATGCGGAATGTCTACGTGTCTTTGGCAATCGATACATCCTCTAGCAAAGTTTATACAATCTTGGGTCATAGTTGGCCAAAAATAACCATGGCGGCGGAGCAGCCAAGCCATTTTTTGTCCGCCTTGCTGAGCGCCACAGAAACCTTCATGTAGTTCCAACATCAACACCATGTACTGTGGCTTTCCCAAACACCTAAGCAAAACTTCATCCGCTATTTTTAGTTCCCCTTGCACGAGAACATAATTAGGTGCTTGCCACCGTATAGATAGCGGAGTATGATGTATTGGTTCCTGTAAGAACTTTATGATTGGCGTGCGCCAATCATCTGTTGTAATAACTGTTGTGATAGAGAACTCCACTTCTAGTGGGTATCGAACATATGCTGGAGTATCAAATTCTACCGTGTCGTGAGTAATATCTAGAGGAAGCGGCATTTTAAGATACCGCGAAGCTAGCTGCGCCATGTCATTGGCGTCACCGTTGAATTCTCTTTCAACATTGTAAAATTCAATATGATTAAAGTGAGATGCAAGGATATCACCGAAAGCAGCATACTTGGAGATGATGTCATCATTTCTATCCATTAATGTCTTCATCTGCCCAACCACTAAAGCAGAATCTCCAATGACTTTAGCATGAGTTGCGCCATTATACAACAATGTTTGTATAGCATGGATTAGACCCTCATACTCTACCTGATTATCAGTTGCTTGGAAACTTAAACGAATCTGGAAACGTAGCTTCTGTCCCTATGGAGATGAAACTACTATACCTGCGCCACTACGCTTGAAAGTTCTCGATCCGTCGAAATGCACCGTCCATAATGGTTCTTCTATTTGGTTCACTTGAAATGACTCAAGAAATTCGCTATCCCAATCATCATCAAGGGAAGCATGTGCAGCTAAGAAATCTGCGAGTGCTTGTCCTTTTATTGCTGATTGAGGTACATGTTGAAATTGATACTCCATCATGGCCAGAACCCATTTTCCTATTTGGCCACTCATCGTTGGGCGATGCAACATGTATCGGACCAGATTTACCTTGTTAATGACGCAGACTAAACCCGGAAGCATGTAATGGCACAGCTTAGTCGTAGCAAAATACAAAGCTAAACACAATTTCTCAATTGGAGGATACCTGCGTTCTGTATCTGTAAGTATTCTGCTTAAGTGGTAAATGGCTCTTTCAAATCTGTCTTGGCCATCTTGAGCTAACAAACAACCCAGCGACTCTTCTGTTGCTGACAAGTATAACTTCAGTGGTTTGTTCTTAAGAGGTACAACCATCACCGGAGGAGTCGATAAGGCCCGTTTGATATACTGGAATGCTTGTTGTTGTTCTTCTCCCCACACAAAGTTTTTGGCTGCTTGAACCTTTAATAGTGGAGAGAATGGTTTCAGCTTCTTGGATAAATTGGAGATAAATCGTCGAAGGAAATTGACTTTGCCGATTAGACTCTGTAATTATTTCTTCGTCCATGGAGGTCTAGCTTCTAATATTGTCTTTGCTTTCTCTGCATCGACCTCAATGCCCCTAGAATCGACTAAGAAACCAAAAAACACACTAGAAGTCACAACAAATGCACACTTTAACGGGTTTAGCTTTAGCTGATATTTCCTCATACGCTCAAAACATTGGTATAAGTGTTGTAAATGATCCGAAAAGAAAAGTGTGACTTCATTACAACATCATCGATGTAAACCTCCAGGATTTTTCCAATTAGATCATGGAAAATACAGTTTATTGCTCATTGATAAGTTGCTCCTGCATTCTTCAACCCAAATGACATAACCTTCCATTGGAAAATCCCTAGTTCCCCTAGCACACAGAAAGCAGTCTTGTGAACTTTTGTAGGGGCTATGAAAATTTGATTATACCTTGCATTGCCATCTACAAAGCTCATGATTCGAAAACCCATCAACCTATCAATTAGCGTTTCCGCAGTTGGCATTTGATACTCATCTTTTGGTGAAGCCAAATTAAGGTTACGGAAATATGTACAAACTCTTGTTTTGTCATTTTTCTTAATAACTGGAACCACGTTGGACTACCATTCAACATATACTGCAACTTTGATAAAATCAACTGCCAACAAGCGTTCAATCTCTTCTTTAACTTTGCTAACAACATCTTTTGAAAACCGCCGTGGTGGTTTCTTTAATGGCTTAAATCCCTTTCTCAAAGGGATACTGTGCTCTACTAAACCACGAACCAAACCTGGTATCTCTTTGTAAATCCATGCAATACAGTCACGGTATTGTTGCAGTAAAGCAATCAGCTGTTTCATTTCATCGGCTGTCAAGGAAGAACTAATGTAAGTAGGTTTTTCCTCGCCTGATGAACCCAGGTTTACTACTTTGATTGGTTCTATATTAAGAACCGCGTTATCACTTAATTTTGGTGTTGCAGTAGCCAACTCATTCAGATCTATTACATCACTGTCAGAAACTCTAACTGGATCAACATCATAGATTACCTCATCCCAGCATATTGTAGGCGTTTTGGCTTTTTGTCGGCGTTCATCTTCAAAATACTGCAATACATGCCTCATTGCTTCTTGTTTCTCCCTTGCTTTTAACAGTTCACCATCTAACTCGTCTGTACTCAAAACTCTTAACTGCTCAATTGTCTTCATTGGAAACTTCTTCAATAGATGGTGTGGCTGGCAACGACCTTAACACATTATAATTGTACAGCCTGTTGAATTCTTGTCAAAGTAATTTCCATTCTGGAAGATTCATATCTCTACGTATAGTGGCCTACTTTGGCCAACCATACTTGTCCATACCTATAAGACGATATGGACCTACTTCACTATCATAATAGTAAGGTTCTGTAGTGTTGGCTTGTGCTGTGAATGGACTTATATTGACTGGAATGATTTCTGGACCCTCTGTTCCACACAAAATGATCGCCTGATGTAGAGAAGAAGGAATGCATCTTGCTGAATGAATCCAATCTCGTCCCAAAAGAGCATTCTAAGAAGCTTTAATGTCAACCACAAAGAATGCTGATACTACCATCTGTGATCCTACTTCAACTTGCAATGGTAGAATGCCTTTGGTACTCGTGACATCTCCTGTAAATCCACTCACAAAAACTTCAGTCGGCACTAAATCTTTTAATTGCTTACATAGATTAGGTAAAGCCCTTGAGGGTAGAATATTTATAGCTGGGCCATTGTCCACTAACACTCGCCGTAATGGGATTCCATCCATAATCGCGCAAATATACAATGGCCTAATATGAGAAGCAGAATCCTCTGCTGGTTGAGAAAGCATAATAAATTGACTCTTTCCTTCCTGTGACAGTATTTGAATCCCACCAACTGTAGTACCATATGGTTCCGTCACAAATGAAGTTGCTTTAGGGACCACAACTTGGTCTGCAACTGTTTTAGGAACTAGGGCTATCGCAGACGTAGGAGTTCTCAAACAAAAAGACTTTGGCAATGTGTAAACCATGTTTACCAGCAGGAAATAAATATCTAACTTTCCCCACAATTGTGATCGTCTTTCTTATTTTCCTGAAAAGCTAATTATTGGCATTTCTTGCTGGACTGGTGATTCAATTCTTGCAAGTGCTTTCTCCTTTTCTACTTCTGCCCTTGTTTGCTTATTCATAACCCGTAGCCATCGACGTTTCTGAGTCCTAGTCATTTTTGTTCTGTCAATGCTTAATTGGAAATTTTGGATGAGTCACACGGTGCCATTCTTTATCATGTATAGGCGCTGCTCTAACTACCCTTGGAGTAATATTACTCTGTGGCACTGGCATTTTAATTCGGTACCAGACTGATGGCCAGCTATCCTGATCATGGTACTGTCTATCAACCCTGGCATTAACGGTAGGATTTCCTAATCTTGTATGCATAGGTAATCGCTATTGAATTAGAGGGGTTACTTGCCGTGTCTCTGCTCGTTGGGTATTCGGTTGTCGATTTTGATTCAAAGCACTCAAAATAGCATCTCATACAGCCCTTAACTTTTCTTGTTCTGGATCTAAATGTGCTTCTTTCTGTACCCAAGTCTGTGTTTGTCCGTTGATCACAATGTTAACTTCTGTTGCAGCTGGACGCGAACTTTGTTAGTGTAAATGCCCTTCGAATTTAGAACCTAACTCATGAAGCTGTCTTTCACATTGTTAAAGACTTTGTCACAATCCTCCCATCCTGTGATCGGACATGTATCAGAAGCATGACTTCCAAATCCTACATCAACCATTCGGACTTGGTGATGTTGCGGGAAAGGATTAGTATTCATTTCAACTGAATCTTCCACTATCACATTGCCATCATCTATCATCTTCCGAAGCTTATTGCGTAATACTACGCAATCATTTATAGTGTGAGTCCAGGACATATGATATTTGTAGTATGTCTTTCCCGCAACATCTGTTGGCTTTGGTTGTCGATATCCTTTCTTGTACTTAATATGGCCTTTTTTTAAACATATCATCATCAAAAATGGCCTCTTGCTAAGAGATGTCGAAGGAATATACCATCCAATATAAGCTCAGCGAGCTTGTCCTGGAGTTCTTGGCAGTTCTCCTACTGGTGGGGGAGTGTTATAAGAATGCGGCATTATCGGTCGACGTAATGCGTCACAAGTATAATTTCGGACATTGACGATCTCAGCAGCATTAACATCATACTCATCGTCGTCTTCATCATGCACCCCATGATTTTGATTACCTTCCGCCACCGGATTCTTATTGAACCATTGTTTTGCTTTTTCGGGATTCTTTCTCTTTTATCCCGGATTACCTTTTCATGCCGTCTTACAATATCTGCTAAGTGATTCAAAGACCGGACGGAATGCAGTGCAACAGCTAATTTTACCTCATTATCTTGAATTCCTACAACCACCATCTTAACGATGGTTGGTTCTTCATATTTATCAGGTATTTTAGCATTCATCTGACGGAACAAAATTAACTATGCTTCTGTAGTTTCTCCAAATTTCTATCGGATCTCCGACAAATCAACAACTGACAATCGTGCAGTGTCCTTGCGAAAATATGATAAGAATTCTCGTCGCTGGATATCCCATGAAGGAATGGACCCTGGCAATAATGATCTATACCAATCAAAAGTAGTCTCTTTCAAGGAATAAGGGAACAAGCGCAACTTGATCAAAGCATTGTTTCTTATTGAACCGCATTGCAATTCAAACAAACTTATCTGATCCTCAGGCCGTTTCTCATCTTCTCTTAAGAACTGCTGGAAATCAGGGATCTTGAAATTTCTAGGCAGCGGTTCCCATTCAACAAAATCAGGATAAGGCTTCCCCAGAACCTCTAGAATCTCTGTATCCAATTTTTTACGGACCATATCCTCTACCAGCCTTGAAAACGTTTCCTCAGCATTGAAAGTTTGTTCAACACCTACTTCAAAATCCTGTTGCTAATTAACATTTGCTGTTGCATCTAGTTCTTGTCAAAATTCATTACCAAGATCCATTCGGTGACGATTACCTCTTTGACTCCAATCCCGTTGCTGTTGGGGATTGGGTCGATTTCCAACATTCTGATCCCCATAAGGTCGACCACCAGCTTGTGCTCTATTTCTATTCAAAATCTGATTTGCTTCATATTCCATCAGCTATAGTTCTTTCCTATTTTCTTCCGCTGTTGGATGTGGTGGAATAATCTTTGGATTAGCAACGACGGTGCCAGACCCTTGAGGTATGTGAAGATTAGTCAAATTTGCAGTTGCAGTGGTATTCCCTATTACTGGTGCACAACACAGTTCTGATACAATAAAAAATGGCGGTCATTACTCCCTTGTGCATTTTGACCATCTTGCCTTGAAGTCTCAATGGCATGACCCTGATTAGGTCCTGCACCAATAGGGCCCTAATTTGTCCCTGGCATTCCTTGTGGTCCATACGTTATTCAGGGAACACTATCTTGCCCATCTAATTGGGGTGGAACCATTGTTGGTCCTTGTTGGTCTTGTACTAGCGGGTTTTGATGCTGAAATGCTTTGTTCTGCAACTGGAGTTGATTCGTTGCAGTTCCAGCATGCTGTGTTTCTGGACTTGTTGGCCATGGAACTTGATAACCTTGATTTGGCATATGCTGCCCCCATGGCATTCCCAACATCATTACTGGTCCAGTCTATTGGGTAGACAACGGAGGTAATTGACGCCCATCAAATGCGAAATTCCCACGTGGCGAAATGAATGCGGGTTGACTTGGAACCACTGGGTAATACCAACTGTGCATCCCACGACCTACCATATTTGCAACATTTTGTGATCCATCATTGTTTGACCTTGTTCCAACATGCTGTACTAGAGCTTCTATTGCAGGTGGTTGAAATATTGCATTCTACGATGGATTGTTTACCATATTAACTAGAGGTACTTTCACTTGTGCTGTTCCTGTAGTTGTATTGCTTCCCGTCACTGTGGATCAGCTGGAACCAGCACCCCCTAAATTCGCACTCTGATCAATTACCCTCTGGAAAGCATTTTCAAATCGTTCCACTTGTGCAGCCATAGTGTGCTCTATTGCCAAAAACCTTTGATGCATCATTTCAGGAGTCATTGGTGGAACCCGATCCGTTTGGCCTTGGTTATGGAATACTGGAACCTGGAATAATGGGCTTTAAAAACCTGGAGTATGAAAACCCGGACTTTTGTAAGACCCAAGATAACTAGATCTCTCTCCAAAGAGACTCGATCCAGCACTAGACTGTTGCTAATTAGCTTGTCGCCCTATTCCAGTTGATTGATCTGCTATCACCGTCAAATATGAATCTATTGCTGAAATATACGGAGACGTATTTATCGGCAAGGAACTCCTGCTTGGTGCCGAAGTCTGGATTGGCATTGATGCTTGTCCTGCCGATTGCATTGTTGTTGACAACTTAGACATCGACATCATTCTTTTGCTTAAACAACGCCTGGTACACGTAAATTGGTCCCACTGGGCGTGCCAAATTTTATGTTTGAGTCAAAATTGTATTTGATAGTTGAAACCGACTCGGGTCAAACTAATTTCAAATGATTGTGTGATATTCTCGAAATAGAACAATAATATTATTTGTAGTTGTTGGGTAGTCCGTCAAATATCATTATTCTCGAAATATTATTGTTCTGAATAATTCTTAAAATTTAATTATTTAAATTTTTGTTACATCATGGATTATTCAATACATTGATCAACTGGTGTATTGAATGCTTCTTTTACCGCGCAAAAATATACACAAAGATATTTAAACTCGGAGCAAGTTAAGTTCGGTGATAATATATATTTTAACTGATGGTATTACATTTCCTTAAGATTATCGCAACTATAAATTTAAGGTTTCGCCGAAGCACAATTCGTGTCAAGATATTGAAAGATATATGCAAAGCTAGGTTTTTTCATTTGTTTGAGAAAAAAGGTCCATCTTCATTAGTCTTTGAAATCATCAAGAAGGAAAAGAATAAATGGCTAAGTTTAGTTCTTCAGCTCAATCCTTTCTTTTTGTGATTCTGGTCGCCTTTGTCTTCGGTAATTATTACTCTCTCTGTCCCGAAAAAAATATTATTCTTATTAAGTTATGTATTTATAATTTCAAAAGTCAATGTGGACTAAGCGATAAAAAGTTAAATTTCGTATAATATGCTTACATTATTGTGGTTTGAAACTTCTGTTAATTGAATCCATCATTTGCAAAACATTTTTCCTCGTAGTTCCATTAACCCCAAGCTCGGAAGCAAGGATTGAGAATGTTCTCCAGGGAGTAACAATTGGGAGTACTGTCAACTCAGCAGCTGGCAATATTGTTGGAAGAGGAAGTCCAGGTGTAGCAGCGACGGTGAATTCAAATGTCGGAGGTGTGACGTCAGCGAATGCCACTGTGGCGATCAGTCCCGCTATCAACTCGACAGTAAATGGTACTGTCGGAACAGGAAATGCAACCGGAGGAATTAGTGTCACTGTTAACGTAACCATCGGAGGAGGTCCGGCAGGACCCTCATTGAACGCAACTGGAGCGATAGATGCCGGAATCAACGCAACAACCGTCAATGCGACAACTGGTGGCGCCGTCAATACAACAATCAGCGTTCCTGCCGGAACATCTGTGAATTTTAATGTCGGAACCCTAAATGTTACTGGAGGAGTCGGAGGAGGCCCGGTTACCGCAACAGCCGCGGTTCCGGTTGGAGCATCCGTCAATGCTTCCGGAAATGTCGGTGTCAAAGTGAGCACAACAAATGGTGGCATAGTTGGAAAAGTTGGAGGAGTTACTGATGGAGTTGGAATTTCCATTAACCACCGTGGCGCTGGAGCTAGCAAGTAAACCTATTATACTTGCAAGTTCTTTTGTTTTCTTTTCCGGAAGTTTCTGGTTTTTTTTCCGAAACTTGCAAGTTCTTATTAAAGATAAGGTTGAAGATTTGAAGTGAAGATACGTTCTGAAGGTTCTCTGCGGATCAATAAACCTTCATTTGCAAGTGTTTTCTTGTATTGTCTTCTGTTTTCCTCCGTTGAATGTATCTTTTGTCTACGTTTTTTTTTTTTTTTTTTCAATTTCAAAGTTTACGTATGTGTTTGTGTTTGTGTCTGTAAGGAATAAAGATCGACTTTTGTTATTTTTGGCTATGTTTTTTTTTTTCACAGCAACGTTATTTTCTCTATCGGTCTCGTCAATTTTGATATTAATTTTGTTTAAATAAAATGGGATTGTACTCATCTGCCCTAACATAGTTCACCTTCTTACACTGTTTTAGTTTAATAAATAGATTTCTTACACAAAAAAGGAGTCTAGTTTAATTGCAACCAGAGACTCAAGATTTGGAGTTCGTTACATCAATATGTGATCGCATTACTGAAAACGCATCAGTCTGCCTGCAACTAGGTTTAATGTCCAACTTCCTTAATGGTCTTTTTTTAAAAAAAAAAAATTTGAGTTGTATTTAAGTTCTTTACCATTAGTCCTGGGTCTTTTATGTTTTTCTCTTGTTTTTAGTAAAATTTGTTTTTCATCATCTATCTCAAAATGGCTTTGAATTCATTACTGGACGAAGGTACTATTTCCCAAACCGGAATGCCTAGTAACCATGTTTGGAGGGGATTGTAAACTATCTTTATAAACTAGAGGAAATTAATATAGAGGGTTTATATAACAAGCAATTAATGCCACATGTACGCAAGAAAGTTTATAAGCATAACGTTGCGATCTATGGGGAGGTACTTCCTCCGGTCCTTAATACAAGGCATTTTATTTGTCATAGATTTCACGTAATACGCATTTTTAATTGACTAAAAAGTTTTAACAATATTTCCTAACAATCAAGGGAATACAGGAAATGTGAAATTATATTTTCAAGGTTTGTTCGTTAATTTGAAATGCATAATAGTTGAAACCTAAGACAAAATAGAATGTCTTTTATGAAGGACCGGAGGGAGTATTATTTTCAAGACACGGAAATATTTGGGAAAAGAAAAAGATAACGATAAAGGTGGATCTCTAATTTTTTCATTCGAGTGAATGCAAAGTTTTTGCCGAGTTCTATGGATGAAGAAAAAGATCATTGTTGTCTTGTTCGGTGACTTTAGATCGATGAGAGTCATAACATTAAACATAATCTTAAAAGTACGCGTTTATAATGTTCAATAGTGTTGAGAACGGCCGACAATAGAGATGACGAGTGAAGTTTCGTATGGAAGGCGGAGAAATGTGGTCGAAACTTTCATCTCAACGACAAAGTCGACACGAAAATTTTAGTTTCTGAATCATTCATCGACTCTAATGTAGAGCTCTGCAAGTGGATGTGAGAAATTTAATTGTTCGCCAAACTCGTCAGACTGATGAGAGTTGAGACAGTCGACAAGGAAAAGTTAGAAGAAAACATTGCCGACTCGGTCGTCCATTTTTCCAAGCCGAAATCAAACGCGACCAGTAACATTGTTCTTGAAAACAAATTTTCACAGCATGGTAAACTTAGAGATGGACTATGACTTCTCGTCACAATGACGAACAAATTGAAAAGTTAAAATTTAGTTCCTCTATACAAAACTTTAACTTAACAAAGCGTAAAAAAATACGTTTCTGTTTGCTTTGTTTTAAACATCAGTTCTCTTTGATCACATCAGTTTCCATCTTTTTAAAAGCAATATGTGTGATCATTAAATTTTTAATGTTTAATCATATATTTCTGAAGTACCTTTATGTCATAAAAGGGGGTCTAACCTTTTTTTTTTTGGTGGTTAATTATGATTGCTTTCTTTATGATAGTTAATCATATAGTCGCAGACACGTTATGCATCAAAATCAACTTCTACCGCCAAAAAAATTCCATTATAAATCAATTAGTAATGCAAGGATAAAATTATTAAATTTTTTATATAGGCATAGAAATTCAGGTTACTTTGGATGTGGGATTATGATTATCTACACCCAACAATTATGTACGTACGCGGTATAGTTGAATTATCTGATTATTTAAAATATTTTACTCCCCCAGTTCCAAAAGGAAAAGGAATACAAAGCCACAGACATTATTTCTCGTTGAACTAATTTATGCAGTTGCAATGCTATTTCTTAATTTGGACTACAATCATCCTTTGTAAGAATTCACTGCAACGAGCTTGTGACTGCTTTTACATCAGTAAAGAAAATAATCTGGGACACCTACGATAATTCCAGTGTAAGTTACACTTTGGGCACAAGGCGGTTGATCGAGGTTATAAACTTAATATGGTTCCCATTTAATCTTATTTATTATGGAAAAAGAAATAAAGAAAAAATTTGGGGAATGACTTGCCAGGTATGAAATTGAATAATTCATCAAATTAGTCGTTGACAACTTAACTCAAATTCATTCACTATCTTAGTATTTCTATAAGGAAAAATGTTACGAGGGAATCTACAACCATAATTGGACGAATATAGAATAAACTTTGAAATGACTTGATTAGAGTGAAACTTTTGGGACCAATTGTAAGAGAAAGTCAACAGAAAAGCTTGGGGTCGTCGTTATTGACTTGATGGCCTAACAATTAATTAACTTCCTAACTAATCAATCATAATCTTTCATTAGTTTATACAGTAGTTAATCACTCGATGGACTAACCACAGGAGCTTATATAATTACAATTTTGCATTGTTCACATTGTGATATTTAAATTATATATGTTCCTTGACTCTAGTTAGGAGAACTGGAAAAATCAGTAGTTGTCAAGATATTTTAATTTCTTCATTTCAATAAACGTACCAACTTGTTCATTTAATGATTGGTGACATTGTTGAACCCAAAAAATGCCAAAATAAGTAATATTTAATTAGCTACATGTTTGCTGCTTTATTTTTTAAATTTTTTTAATCTATCTATCTACCAGTGGTTCCCCCTTTCCGCTGAGTTGATCATCACTTATAATTTGGCCAAAAACACAATTGTTGCAAAGAAAACAAGATTCAAGTCTACCTCATAATTTGGTTGTTTTGCGACAAAAAGAAAAAAAGAAAAGCACCTTTACTACCCTTTGAGTACGACTACATTAATCATCCCATCTCATCCATCAACGAGGACACAAAAAAAAAATGGTGAAGATCACTTTAGCTCAATCCTTTATTCTTGTAATTATGGCCGCCTTTGTTGTTGGTAAGTATAATTATATTCTACACAATAAATGAAAGAAACATGCACAAACACACACACAAAAAGACACAAAATTAACTCTTATTAGAACAATCACTGACAATACACTCTTAATTTGATTTGTAGCACCTCAGAATACACTCTCTTTGTCCCGAAATAATTGTCCAGTTTAGATTTTTATTTTTAACACAACATTCATTTTAAGACAGAGGGACTATATGTGGACAGTATTATTATTCTTCTGTCTAAGCTTTAATATCTGTTTGATGATCAGGAAATACAGTTGGAGTCATTGGTGACGCTATCAGCTCAACAGCCGGCGGTCTTGACGATGCCGGAAATGCAGTTGGAGCAACTGTTGGATTAGTCGGGAATACGGTTGGAGCAATTGGAGGCACTGTAAGCTCAATCATTGGTGGTCTAGGCGGAACAGGAGGAAATGCAGCTAGAGCTTCTGGCTCCAAAGGCAATCGTCGTCATGTTAAGTCGTCCAACAAAAACTCTAAAAGAATGAGTGCCAAAGGCTATGGTTTAGGCGTAGCAGATAAAGTAACCGGAGGAATCGTCGCCGCATTTCCCCATATCGGCGGATAGATGACCGGGCGGCCAGCAAAGCATTTGTTGCGAAGTATAGTTACTAAAAACCTTGATGATTTGGCGTGAAGAGATGTTCTATTATTCAATCTTCATTTTACGATTACTCACTCGTCTCTCTTTCGTTTCTTTGTTTTTGGTTTTTTTTTTTTTTTTTTTGTTTTTGTTTTCTGGTTTTAAGTGAACTGTACTACCTTTTATTTTCTTTTATTCTATCTTTTTGCGTTTATTTGTCGGCTTAGTTAAATTCAAATGAAAGTACAATTAGTTAAATTCAAATGAAAGTATTTGTGTTGTCCAAGTATTATAGCGGACATGAAATTTTTGTTATTATCTACCTCATGTAGTTCTTTGATAAAAGTATAAAGTTAAAAAAAAAAAAAACTACGCATGTAACTTCCTTGCAAATTTACTTCCATATCAAAAATTAGTATTTTGCATGAGAATACAATTTGTCTTGATAACTGCCTTGTCTGGACGGACAATAATGCCTCCTTGTGAATTTAAACCTTATCTTATGCAAAGTAAATGTTACTTCTTTAAATTATTTCCATTATTTCTTTCAGTGGTATTAAAACCAAATCAAGTGAATAAATATTTGTCTACGAAGTGATCAACAAGATGGTATGATAGAATTGGACATTCTGACAAGGCCTTGTGACTTATCATTCTCTCCTTTTACATATGCATTCTTTTAAGTCACCGACTACTTAATCTCCATATTCGAATCTTCTTGAAAGATAAAACTCTCCTTGCAACCGTACTTAATCTGATGCAAGATCTTTTATCCTCTAAACCAAGTATTTGGTGGTAGTTTAGAAAAGTGTTTTACTTAATAAACTTATATCTCCATTACTTCGCGATGCGCATGCTATAGTTGGATTTTTCCTGTTTGAAACATTTCGCACACTCCAGACAATGATTTGTAGCCTGCCTTACAACTTTATGTAGAACTATATGATATTCAAATTGTACTCCATTTGTCGAAGAAAAATAGTCTATATTATAATTTAAAAATTATATTGTTTTTAATACAATTCACAAGTTACAATATAGATTATTTTTCTGGTATCGAGCTGAAATTTTTCTTTTACCTTCAAACAGAAATTGAGACTAAAGAAGACTTATGTCTCGAGCCCCTTTGTTACCCGTCTAATCTAATTTTAATGAAAGAATTAGATACCCTGGACTGGGCAGCCATCATGCATATAAATTAAGGGTTCTAAGTTGTTTTGTTTATCTTGTGGCCGCTTTCGTATCTCAACATCTTCAAAGGATTCAAGTTTACTTGGATTTGTCAAGAAGGATAAAAAGATCTGTAGGAAATGATGTACCTACCTTCGTCGGATTATTTAATCAAAATCAAAACTAAATTTATATATAGTTCAAAATAAAGTAAAACATCCTAAATTAGTAATTTATATATACAAAAAAAAGTTAATATTCGAGTAATTAAGATTTTTTGTCACTAAGAAGTTTGTCACTCAAGTCTCAAAAGATGAGAAAAAGGGGTTATTATCCCCCCTCAAGTTAAGAAATTAATGCAGCAGTCATGGTACATATCAGACTTGAGAGAATTTCTTGCCGTTTCCACTCGTTACAGTTACCATCTACATGGAAAAACGTGGTTAGACTTTGACATGGTGGGAATCTCTCAACTTTGATCAATTTGCCCTTTCTTCATCTACGCATTTCTCTCCCTCAATTTTTTAAGAAGAAGGATAAGAAAAAGAAGAATAAATTATGGCGAAGCAGATAGTATAACTGATGTTTGTATGTACTACTGCCCAACGAACTGAGCTTAAAAAATACAGAAACTTTCGCTTTCATGCATGTATGAATTGGGGAATATTGATTTGTTAAAACTTACTAATCGATAAATTATTATTTTCTGTTGATCCATCATATTGAATAACGTTTTCATACGGTTTATAATTATATTAATGTGCTCAATTTAATTACAAGGTATAATATGGGTATGTGTAGTGTGTTTTTGGTTAGATAGATTGGGTAATATCAAGAAAAAGTGACTTTATAGCTAGGAAGCATAAGCAAAAATTTCTTGCAACTTTTGTCATTGTGAGGTGACTTCAAAAAAAATTATCTCTCTCGGCTATACTATGACATGATTTGAAGCGACCAACAATTTTAAATTTTGTTTACCTTTAATGAAGCTGATGCAAATAGACGCATGAAACCGACACACTTTTGTGCATAAGAAGAACAAACTGAAATGGCTCAAGAAGCAAGTTTACAATTCCTGAATGTGTACATCAATTCCAGTTTTGCCAATCAATATTGTTTATTTACTATAATTCTTTGTTTTCATTAGATTATTCTTACAATTAAATACCAGATTCATAACAGTTAAAGTTGTGGTCACTGCAACAAGCCAACAAATGAGCTAGAATGTTTGATCATGATACAAATACTAACATGTTTTTTAATTTAAATTACACGTAATTATTGTGGCAATTAATCAAAAGATTGGAATGGCTCCGTGACTAGTGTGAATGTGACATATTCACGTTCATATTATCTAAAAAAACATATATACACATGGGTAGAATATATGTTACAATGACTTGTGATTATAGGCTTAAACCTTGAGCATGGTGGATATTTGGTTTAGTTATTTATGTAGAAAGGCCAACAAAACGAAAACCACCTTGTAAACGGGGTAACTATAGTTCCTTCAACTGAAAATTCAACAAATCGATTTTTCACCTAATAATTTCACCAATGAGATTATTAATCCTTGTTGCCGTCGACACTCTGAAAATGTGCGAAATAGAAGGCCAACAAAAAGAATGATCTTTTATGAATCCCACACCTTGACTTGTGACTGTAATAAAAAGCTAATGGTTTTCTGTAAATAGATCTATGCCATTTCAAGGCATCTGAAAATTATTTCCAATTAATTGCTCGAACTTCGCAAAGTGATATTTCAGCTCTCGTTCAGTAAATTCTCTCATGCTATTTCGGTAAAACTTGGATATCATGATTTGTCGGAATCAATAATTAATGTTCACATTTCCCTTCGCGAATGCAATATCAAAATTGTTGGGATGTAGTATCCCAAAATGATTGTTTCTATTAGACTTTGTTTACTATTTTTTGCGATAATTGACTTATATATATCTCAAAAAAATGGACAAGAACAAAAGAGACCTAAGATTTTAATTCTAGCCAAAACTAATCTCCTGTGGTTCATAAACGTGAAAAAAGAAAAACTAGCATTTCGAAAACACGAAAAATGAAAAACTTGCGTTTCAAAAACGCGAAAATCAAAATACGCGTTTCAGAAACGGGAAAAAAATTTGTAAATAAAGAAATTTAGCGTTTCAGAAACGTGAAAAGCCAAAATTAGCGTTTTGAAAACGCAAAAAATAGGTAAACCCCTAATTAATTTAACTTAATTTTAATTAATTAATGGTATTAAATTTGATTAAATAATATTTAGCGTTTTCAAAACGCAAAAATAATAAAAATGCGTATTTTGTCAGAAAAAAGGAAATACTCATACAAATTCAATTAATTTGCCTATTTATTAAATTTGTAGGAAAAATTATGAAAACAAAAATTATTAAATATTAATAATAAAAATTAAAGGAATATCTAAAAATAATAAATAATTAAATAAATGAGTAAATATATTATTTTATTTTGAATATGAATATAATATTATAATTGATAATGATTAAATTAAATAAATTTATATTAAATATAATTTATTAAAATTATAACATAATTTTATATTAAAATTTTAATCATTATTTTATAAATATTTTTTATTAAAAAATATCATTAATGATAAATGACGTAATTTTACGGATTTATATTAATTAGATGTAATTTAATTTATAAATTGTTTATATTAATTATGAAAATTTACAAATATGGTTACATTTTTAATAAAAACTTATTTTATAAAATTTCATATAATATATATTAAAAACAACAATAAATTAATTTACAAATATATATTTATTATTATTTTACATAATTTGAAATAAAACATAATTTGAAATATAATACGATTCCATCCAATTACGTATTCAGTTTAAGTACAACTATGTAGTACATATGTAAAAAGGAAAAGTTTGAAAAATAAGAAATTCCATTTAAATAAAACTAAGTAGCATATACGTAAAAATAATGAATTTGATTAATAACAGATTTCGTTTAAGTCAAACTACGTAATACATATGTGAAAAGAACAAATTTGATCAATTACGTATTCTGTTTAAGTAAAACAAAGTAGTGCATATGTAAAAAGAACAAATTTGATTAATAACCGATTCCATTTAAGTAATACTTGGTATATGTATGTAAAAAGACCAAATTTGATCAATAACATATTCTGTTTAAATCAAACTAAGTAGTCCGTTTGTGAAAAGGATAAAGTTAATCAATAACAGATCTGGTATAAGTCAAACTAAGTATCTCATAGGTAAACACAACAAATTTGATCAATAATAGATTTCATATGTAAAAAGTACAAATTTGATCAATAACATATTCTGTTTAAGTAAAACTAAGTAATACAAATGTAAAAAGAACAAATTTGAACAATAAGAATTACATTTAAGTAAAACTAAGTAGTACGTATGAGAAACAGTTTTCGTTTAAGTCAAACTAAGTAGTAAATATGTTAAAAAAAATAAATTTGACCATTGATAGATTATATGTAAGTAAAACTAACTAGTACATGTATAAAAAGAACAAATTTGATCAATAACTGATGCCGTTTAAATCAAACTAAGTAGTACAATGTTGAATCATTGTTATCAGCGTTTACTAATCACATTATTATTTTGAAATGATTTTTATTTAATGTCATTGACACTAAAGTGAAATGTCATTTTAGGACAGAAAAAGTACAAATTCAGCATTGTGTAAAATAGCATACTATTTAGGTTAAAATTGAAATAGAAAATTATTATTAAGGGTGTAATTGAAAAAAGTTTCAATAGCTATTTGTTTAAATAAGAACAGAAGTTAAAGAGTCTAATTTTATAAATATTAGGGTGCCTATTTTATAATTTCACTAATTTGATAAGGGTCGGCTTATAATTTAGCCATTTTAATGTGTCAAAATATAAAAAGTCAAACTAAGAAATTTAATTAAATTGAGGATTTGACCCGGATCCGGGATCCGGCCCGGTTCCCCTCCAAAAATTGTCAAGCCACCTTCCTCGATTTTTTTCCGACAAAAAAGGGGCAAACTGATCGGGGATTCGGCTGAAGGTACAAGATTTTTATTAATAGGCATAATCCGGCGATGTCTGTCATCCGGGTTGAATCCGGCGACCATTATTTCAGGTTTTCTTTTCTTTTCGTTTCTTTTTTTTTTTTTTGGCGGCGACAGGGCTGGGTTTGGCGTCCGACGACAAGGGTGGGTTAACAAATGGCCGGGTTTTCTTTTCTTTATTCATCTTCTTGGCTTAACAAATGGTCGTCCCAAAGTCCACTTCCTCTTGTCCATTACAAGAACCCCAGAACCGTCTAACCCGAATTGCAAAGCAGTCGGGTCGATAAAGATAATTTGGACCCACCCCGGACTTCCGCAATTAATCGGATTGTGCTGCGGTTGAGGAACCTCGGTTTGGGCAGTGATGATGAGGACGACAACGATGATGAAATTGCGGAACCCGGATTGGATTTGGGTGTAGGGTTGGCGGATAGGGAAGAGAAATTGGGGGATTTGCTGAAGAGGGATTGGGTTAGGCCTGATACGTTATTAGTTGAGGATGAGGAAGACCCAGATTCCATATTGTTGCCATGGGAGGCGGAGGCTGAAGGTGGTGGTGGCGGGGGGCAGTCCTGGGATGTGGGTTTCAGTGGGGGAGAGGTGAAATTGAGAAGAAGAAGAGAATTATTTGGTTGTAAAAAAGTAATAAATACTGAACTTCCAATTTTGATTAAAATTAGAAACGTAATTTAGGAGAGCACAAGCGCATCTGTAACTCCTCAAATTAGCGTTTGCAAATCGCGAATTACGTATTTAGCATTTTCCGAACGCGAAAAATTAGTTTAGCGTTTTGGAAACGCGTTTCCTTTGACTCGCCTTTTCAAACGCGTTTCCAAAATGCGTTTTTTTCCCCCCATTAATTCCATTGCTTTTCTTTCTTTTCTTTCTGGATCAATTTTTTTTAAAAAAATTAATTAACGTGTTTAGCGTTTCTGAAACGCGAATTTTTAATGGTGACTAGTGTATTCGCGTTTTCAAAACGCGAGAAAATTAAAAATGTCCAGTTTTGAAACCCTAGAACACATTTTATCCCACGATTTTTGTCTGAGATACCCTAAAGTCAGGCACCCCCTATTTTTTGGGTAAGATTTTTTTTGAATAAAATAAGTTGCGTTATGAGCTTACAGGTTATTTTGAATTGCTGGCTTAACTTTTAATCTAATTATGTTCTAATTTCTAACTAATTCTATGATAAGTGGAATCAGTTTAGTTATGGAGAATACGATTGTTAAGATGTAATCTGAGGTTATCAATAACTACCTAACATACACTATGCAACAACCCATTAAATATGCATTTATGTTTAGATGGAATTATGAGGTATTAAAATGAGGCTGTAAATATTGTGGCATGAATATCACGAGTATAATGGGACTGTAAATATTATGGAACAATGAGTTATTAGTAAGATGAGACCCGTAAATGTTGTTGTATACATGCCACAAGGTATTGGCATATATATTTTTGGGACAACTAGCTAATGTGAAAGGATATGTTCATTAATTTTTATATGTTTGCAAGTTAAGTGTGGCTTTTTAATATTTTAGTTGATTGATGGAATTACATTCGGTTGACTTCAGCATCTCTACTATAAACTTATTCTTTCGGCCAAGCACAATTCCCGTCACTTGAAAAAAAAAAAAGAAAAACCTATTAATTCAAGTTTAGCTGTTCCTTTGTTTTGAGAAAAAAAGCCAGCTTACTTCAAGCCTAATTAACAACTTTTTGATATATAAGAACTATATCAACTCGTCCATCAACAAGGAACAAAAAATGGCTAAGATCACTTCAACCCAATCCTTTCTTCTAGTGTTTCTGGTCGCCTTCGCCGTTGGTAAGTAAAATTCTACCGTCTAAAACGGTTTAATTAGCTTGTGTTTGTTGCAATAAATTAAGGTGGTTTTGATATGCCGTTATTAAATTCCATGCATCATTTCGTTTCCATTTCCTCAGTGTTAACCCCATCATCAGCTGGCCCTGTAAATGGAAATGCAACCGAACCAATTGGTAGCGCAACCGCCGGTGGTTCAGTTGACTCATCTAGCAGGAACGAATCTATTGATCCTGCCGGAAAAAGGAATTCAAGTGTCGCAGCTGATGGTGACTCCATGAAGTCGAGAATCGATGATCCTGCTCGAACACCAGTTAATACATCCAGAAGAACTGATGGCACAAAAGATGATTTTCATGCTGGATCATCAGTGAATGGATCTAGAGCAAATGATGATACTATTGACTCATCAATCAATGGTGTAGGCGGAACAGGAAACGCCGTTGAACCAGGTCGTGCCAACAATAAATCAGCCGTTGAAGGTCCTGCTAAACCATCCGCAAATGTATCCAGATCGATTGATGACTCTGTGAACACTAACTCAACAAACGGTGGTGTCGGCGCAACGATAAATGCAGTTAGGCCAGATGGTGGGTATGCAAAGTCAATAAACGATGGTTCGGTAGGAACAGGAAATGTAGTTAAGCAAACTAGTGGGTCCACTGGTTCTGCAGCCGGGCGTCCGGCTAAAGTATTTGGAGCCACTAATAAGGGTAATCCGGGAACTTATGCTATTGGAATTGGAGGAAAGGGTGTTCCCTTAGCAGCAGCAGGCCAAGCATCTGGAAATATTGCAGGTAAAGTTTGGGCAGGAAGAACAGCTTGAAGACTTAGACGGTGGTGTGTCCGAATAGTCAATGAAAACATGGGTGAGGAACTTGGAACAATTTGGTTGCAAAGATTTGAAGATTTCACTTCAAGGGATGTTCTAAAACTTTGAATACATCTTTAATAATTAGTTCTGTTGTCTTCTTCTTCTTCTTCTTTTTTTTTTTTTTTTTTTTGAAAACAATTCTGCACTTTTGACGGTGGTGGAGCAATTGTCCCACTCAATGTTGCTTAGTTGCCATACGTAAAAAAATTTTCCTTCGTACCTGCTCCCATCCTGGGAGATTACTTTTTTTTTTTTTTTAATTTTGTAAAATATTTGATTTACCATCAATGCGAAAAAAGAAACAAGATACTCCCTTTCTATTTATATATTGTTCTGTTAGGATTTTAAATTGTTAGTATAATTAAGTGGATCTAGATCCCTATTCCTAGGCTCCTAGCTAAACAAATCTTTATGACACCTTGCTGATATAGTCGTATACTAATAAAATGATTGACACGTATGCGATCACTATCGAAAATGAATTAACTCATCATTTCCTTATGATGTTTTTTAAAATTAACTCATATCAATTGAGATTTAATCAATTTCACACAAATTGTAGTTAAAAAGTATCACTTACGAGCTCGGCCAATATGTTGGGGGCCTAATAAGGTGATAATTTCGACAAAATACTTTGTCAATGCAAATAAAGAGAATCCGTCATTTTACAATTTGCTATTTCTGGGAAACCCTAGTATATTCTGTCGCGAAAATCACAAAGCGCCTGAGGAAAAGCGATGGGCCGATGGGGGAGGAGTGAAGGAAATGAAAGATTTTGGTTTAATTTTAACTCAGACAGCTTAGCTTAATTGGATTAATCCACAACAAGGCTTTCCTCTTTCTCCTGATCTTAGCAACAAACCTTGGCGGGAAGAAGAGTTTGAATTGACAAGCAGCAACTGTTCGATCTTAAGTCGGTTACAAGATTGAATGGCTAGGATTAATTCTGCAAATTAAGTCGGTTTAGTAAAGTTTTTTAGCTGGCATATTCTAGAAGATTGAATGTATATATATAGAGATTATTACTTGTAAATACGGTGAAGTTGAATGATAATCCAAGTTTCAAGTTTCCAGAATATTCTCTCTTTACGTTTCTTGATATCATCTTCTTCATTCCATCTTTTTCTTCGTTTCCGATGAACAGAATCTGTAAATTCGTGATGGTATCAGAGCAGGTTTGATTCCTGCTCTGTAATTCTGCTTGAATATACTCTGATTAATCAATTACAAAATCTTCAAATTAGGGTTAGATCGTTAATACTTTGATTCGGAACAAGTTTTACATATATTACTTCGAGATCCAATTTCTTAATCAAGAATCAATCAAGGATGGAGAATGAACAGTTGATCAGGCCTCAAATTCTTGCAGAAGTGAATCAGCGTGAATTGGAACTTCTAATTGAAGAGCAGTTGAATGTACATGGTTCTAAAAATCCAGGTACTCCTCTTGTTTCGGTACCTCTGAATGGAAAAAATTATTTGCTATGGAAGAATGCTATGATTCCTGCTTTACAAGCAAAAAATGAAGTTATGTTTCATAGATGGAACTTTACATAGGCCACCAGAGACTACTTTGAAGTGTATTAGATGGGATCGTGCAAACAGTTTAGTCTGTTCGTGGATTAAAAGTTCAATTGCTCCTGAATTGGTGAATCTTTTTATGTTTATACATGATGCAAAGATTCTTTGGAAACAAATTGAAAAACTGTATGGAACAACTAATTCACCTCAACTATTTGAGTTAAAGCGTGAGATTACTTTGGTTAGACAAGAAGATTCTTCAATGGCACAGTACTATTGCAGATTGAAGCAATTATGGGATCAATATGAACAATTGAGGCCTACACCTTTAATTGAAGGAGAAATTGGAAATCTGTTAAGAACTCGTGCTATTGAGGACAGATCCATGGAGTTACTCATGGGATTAAATGAGATATATGAGCAAGAGAAGAACAAGATTCTTTTTATGGATCCACTGCCTGAAGAAGAAATGGTTTATAATATGCTGGTTAAAGCAGAAACAGCTAGACAGGTTACCCCAAATATTGCTTCTGGCACAGATAACTTGGCAATGGTGGCTAAGGTACCAGACTGGAAAAGGAATCAGGGTGATGGAGGATCAAATTCAATGAACAAACCACAAAAAAATGCAGCTATTGTCAGATAGATGGACACTTGAGGGAAGAATGTTATAAACTGAATGGATATCCACCACATCTAGACAAGAAAGGCCTGAAATGTACTTACTGCAAGAGAGATGGTCATCTCAAGGATGGGTGTTTTAAGCTGATTGGATTTCCAGAATGGTGGCAAAATAATCCAAGGAAGCCTGGAAACAAGATCAACACTACACACATGGTTGACACACCATTGTCTCTTCAAATGGAAACTCCTAATGATTTACAGATGATGGTAGCAAATGCAGTGCAGAAGGAGATAGAAAAGATGGATAAAGGGAAAACAGTCACTGATCATGCAGGCCCTTCCATGGTGAATATGGTGCATTATCATGATATGGCAGGTAACACCACTTATTCTAAGTTTTGTTCTGATTCTTACCATTTTATATGACCTAGGTCATGGGTGACTGATACAGGGGCAACTGGTCATATGTGTAGAGATATTGCATTAATGAATCATCCTCAATAGTCCAATCATACACTCTTGTTTTGTTACCTGATGGAAGAAAAGCTAATAAATTATTTTGAATATTAATATTTGTTTTGGCAATAACAAATGACTTTTAACAATACATATTAAGTATTAAATAGCATGAATGTAATGTAAAATTATATTTATTTATTATCCATACTCATGACCTATAATATCATTTGAAAATACTATTCCATTTCTAAAGCAAGGGTAATATTAAAAAAATATAATAAGAATTATCTCGATTTTGTAAAACCGTATTTATTTATATATATTATATTAAAGCAAAATAAGTTTGTGGAAAAAGTACATGTGTCAAGCTCCTATTAACCCATTTCCCGTGAAAAATCTTTTAGTATAAAAATGTTCAATGCATTAATTTTTATTTGATTTGGATAAATAAGAAAGTATCACAAATTATTACTCATTTATACTTTGATTTGAGAGTGATTTGGAAGATTTTTTAGAATCATTTTCAAAATAATTAGTGAATAGTATTATGATTGAATGTGGACGCCTTTTCCTTACATATTCGATTTTTTTTAAAAAAAAGAAATGATTACAAATTATTTATTATGCATTTATTGATTGATTTAAAGTAAACATGTTAGGACTACTATTTAACCCCCCTCCCCCCCTTCTATACACCAGTCCACAATATCGTTATTCTCATTCTTTGCTTAATGTAGGTTAGAATTATATTCTTTGAAATTTATTACTTTTTTCTGCACCCTCTAAGTTTCAATATCGTTTTCTTAATTCTTTTTTCTTTGTCTTGGTCAAAGGCGATACAAATGGCCACTGAATACCATCGGTATGACCACTAATTCTTTTGTTTATATTGTGTAAGTTTTTCCCGAACATGACTTGCAAAACCTAATTTGCAAGTTATGTTCACTTGTGTACATTATATCAAAATATGGTTTGCAAAATATAATTTGCAAGTTATATTTAAATTGTGTTAATTCTCCTAAGATGTGGCTTCCAAAATCTAATTTGCAAGTTATGTTCACTTGTGTAAATTATATCAAAACATGGCTTGCAAAATATAATTTGCAAGTTATGTTTATATTGTGCAAATTCTCCCAAAACGTGACTTGCAAAATTTGATTTGTAAGTTATGTTTTAATTCTGCAAATTCTCCCAAAACATGGCTTGCAAAATCGAATTTGCAAGTTATGATCACTTGTGCAAATTATATCAAAACATATCTTACAAAATCTAATTTGCAAGTTATGTTCACTTGTGTAAATTATATAAAAACATGGCTTGCAAAATATAGCTTGCAGGTTAAGTTTAAATTTTGTAAATTCTCCCAAAATATGGCTTACAAAATCTAATTTGCATGTTCTGTTCACTTGTGTAAATTATATCAAAACGTGGCTTACAAAATAAAATTTGTAAGTTATTTTTCAATTGTGTACATTCTCCCAAAATGTGTTTTGCAAAATCTAATTTGCAAGTTATGTTCACTTGTGTAAATTATATCCAAACATGGCTTGCAAAATCTAATTTGCAAGTTAAGTTTAAATTGATTAAATTCTCCAAAAATGTGACTTGTAAAATCCGATTTGCAAGTTATGTTCACTTTTGTAAATTATCTCAAAATATGACTGACAAAATATGATTTGTTAATCTTGTTGATATTGGTAAATTTCTTCCCATACGTGATTTGTAAAATCTAATTTGCATTTTATGTTCACTTTTTAATAACTAAAACCTAACCCTATCCCAATACATGGTTTACTAGACAGTAGCAAATTATGTTTATATGATACTTTTACAATGACTAATAATTTTAACAATTTTTTAGAAGCACACCTTTTACTATATTTGTTTATATACATGGTTTTTAAAACTCAATTGCGTCCGTTCTGTTCGATTTTGTAATTTTTCAAACAAAAATTTTGTTCTTGGTTTAATGATATACTGTAATTTCTAAGCTATGTTCATTTACGATATTTATCTCTTTTCAATTATTAATATTTGTTTGTACTTATGTACATTTATATTGACACACCTTGATAATATATTTTATTTTCGTTGAGTCATTAACAAACAGTGTTCTTATAATATATCATTCACCCTTGGTTCCGATTAAATCATTCGTAACAGACATTAAGGCAAAGCAGAAGAATCTACCTATCACAGTGCGTTTGATGAGGATTTGGCAACAACCTGACTATAATACCATCGAAATGGTGTTGGTTGATTCTAAGCTATATAGATACTAAATTTGTCATAAATAACCCGTCATATATTTTATGCTAAATTTTTTTAAAATATTTTGCGCATTTGGTTAATTAATGATGATGCTTTCTTTTTATTTAATTTTTTTTTTACTTTTATAGGGTACTAAAATACAGGGTACGGTGAAACAATCATTTCTCGACATGTTCACTGAGCAACTTCTAAATAATGAAGGGGAGACTATAACCGTATCAAATTATGGTATTGCT